GGAACTAGAAGACGACCAGAGACTCGTGGCGAGCGTCGTCCGAGCGCACCTGGAAACGTGCGACTTCACGTCGGACAAGGTCGCGCCCACGCTGGCCAGGGCCCGAGAACAGCCAAACTACACCCTGTGCCATCCGACACTGGTGAGTAAATTTTTTTTTTTTTTTTGTGTTTTTCGTTCGCGGGCCGACGATTTCCGTTCGCGCGAGATCCACGCGGCGAAATGCATAACGTAACGTGAAACGCCAGCCGCGGGCCGCGCGGCGTTCAGGAAGAACCTTGGCGACGAATATTTTCGCGCGCGCGTTAATCAACAAGGTCTGCCGGTATGCAAACTTTCGGCGCGCGTGTGACGCGCAAAACTCGTATGCGCTCGTTGGTTTTTTTTTTGTTTTGTATTTTTTTTCCTTCCCTCTACACGAGCGCCTAACCCAACGCCGTGTACTGCGCGATACGAACTACGCCGCCGTCCCGTAGATATTTTTTTTTTTTTTTAAATAAATTTTATAAATCATTCGTTTTATCCCGTCTTATCGTGCGGGCCGCATTGTTGTGTCGGGTTTCTTTTGTTTTTTTTTTTTTTTTTTTTTTTTGTCCGTTTTTCTTTTCGTCACGAATATTTCCCGTCGGTTTTATCGTCGCGCGCAGCACGCGTCGCGCGCGTTTGTTTTATTTTTGCCCGGTATCGCGGAATAAGAAAAAAAAAAAAAACAACAATTTCTCCGCGGCGTCCTTGGCCTTGTTGCCTCCTAAATTTTCTAAACCACCTTCGGCGGCGATGACGCACGGCGTCCTATATAGTACCGCGTATAAAATATCACACCATCGTAAATAATAATAATAATATTATTATTGAAATATCTCTCGGCTCTCTTCTATTCTCGTCGCCGATTTTCTCGTACCCGTCCGCGTAGGTCCGAACTTTGCCCGCGCGCCCGCGGCGGTACAACGAAAACCCGATACCTGTGCGCACGTATCTCCGAACACACGAGTCTCTCTCTCCGGGTCACGTGTAACAAAATAGTATTATTATTATATTATTTCTGTTTTTTTTTTTTTCTTCTCAATAAAGTCGTTAGCCTTGATGAGCCGTCGCCGCCGTTCAAGGCCACGACGAAACGTACCCGTACGCCGTAGCGCATAACGATAAAAAAAAAAAAACCCATAATAATAATTCAATATAGTCGCGATAAATCTCCGTCGTAAAATAATACAATGCACATGTACGGGCGACAACAACATACTCATCGGTCGTGTCGTTTTTCGTTGCGTTTCCACAGGCTTGCCCGTTGAACCCGAGCCCGCGACCCGTCACCGGACAACAAGAACTGTTAAACGACTTTTCGAAGCGATTCTCGCCGGCTATACGCGGCGTCGTCGAATTTGCCAAACGCATACCCGGTTTCGGGTTACTCGCCCAGGACGACCAGGTGACCCTGCTCAAAGCCGGCGTTTTCGAAGTGCTGCTCGTCCGCCTGGCCTGCATGTTCGATTCCGAGGTAAGCGCAACGTTTTCGTACTTACCTGTAGTACCATTGTATTGTCGTACGCGTTCTACGGCAGAGCGCGTGCGCGTCGTCGCGTTTTTCCACGTGTATTAACCTAGTTTGTTTTTTTTTTTCCCCTTTTTTTTTTCTCGCATAGTGTAACAGTATGGTGACGCTCAACGGCCAAGTGTTGCGCAGAGAGTCGGTGTGCGCGTATTCCAACGCGAGATTCCTTACCGATTCAATGTTCGAATTTGCCGAACGGCTGAACGCGATGCGACTAAACGATTCCGAAATCGGTCTGTTCAACGCCGTCATCGTAATCGCCGCCGGTAAGTGTCTATACGGAAATCGCGTAGTTATTTTTGATTTCACATTAAAACATCATTCATTCGACTGCGAATATCACAATCGTATAATTGTTTTTTACCATATAAAACGTATATAACAACGATACTTTACGAGTGGAGAGCTATTTCTAAGGAATCGGTTTTTTTTTTTTTGTTTTTTCTCTAACAGATCGTCCAGGATTGCGCAACGTTGAATTCATCGAACGCATGCACAAACAGTTGAAATGCGCTCTACAATCGGTGCTCATGCAAAACCATCCGGACAGACCCAGTCTGTGCCAAGAGCTGTTGAAGAAAATACCCGACTTGAGAACGCTAAACACTCTGCACTCCGAGAAATTGTTGGCGTTCAAGATGACCGAACAGCAAAATCAGTTGGACCAACAACAACAACAACAACAACAGGACAACCAGCATCAAAACGGTGGCGTTTGGAGTATGATGATGAACAGCGACGATTTCAACCGGAAGAGCCCCGAAGAAGCGGGCTCGTCTTCGTGGTCGGACGAGACCACCTCCGTGGAGGACATGAAGAGTTTGGTCATGTTGGACGAAGTGAAGAGCCCCCTGGGGTCGGTTTCCAGCACGGAATCGGTTTGCTCGGACGAATATCATCACGGACCCAGCAAGCACGCGGCCAGTGCCCCGCTTTTGGCGGCCACGCTGGCCGGCGCAGTGTGTCCGATCAGGCGTCACGCGGCCACACCGTCGGACGAAAACATGCATCAAGTGATCGTCAGACCGATATCGTGCCGGTACCAACGGAAACAGGACTCGCCCACGGACTCGGGCATCGAATCGGGAACCGAGAAGTTGGACAGGCCCATGCCGCACAGCGCACCCACTTCGATATGTTCGAGCCCCCGGTCCACGGTCGAAGACGTCGTGATGGTGCCCGACTCGCATCCGCCCGCCATCGAGGACATGCCGGTATTGAAGCGCGTGCTCCAGGCACCGCCGCTGTACGACACCAACTCGCTGATGGACGAAGCGTACAAGCCACACAAAAAGTTCCGGGCCCTGCGCAGCACCAAGGATTCGGCCGAGGCCGAGGCCGTCCGACCGACCACCGCCGTCCACCACCATTCGCCTCAGCTCCACCATCACCTCACGTCGACCACGTTGTCGTCTTCGTTGTCGAGCACGCACAGCACGCTGGCCAAGTCGTTGCGCGAGACGCCCAAAATGACCGCGGAACAGATAAAACGCACCGAAGTCATCCACAACTTTATAATGCGCGAGGACACCTCCTGCACTTACCAGCAGCAACAGCACCACCATCAAGAGCCGCAGCAGCAGCAGCAGCAGCAGCAGCAACAACCGCCGACCAGGTGGCAACACACACCCGTCATTACGTCCGCTTTGGCTCAAAACAGCCGATTGTCGTCGCCGCCGCCGCCACCGCCCACCAGCTGCAGGTACTCCGCCGCGGTGAGCAGCGCCAGCGGTTGCATAAGCAGCGGCGTTTTGGCGCGCGTCCTCTCGCCGTCTTCGTCGTCCGGATCGCCGCCGCCGCCGCCCGCACAGTCCGGGGTGTCCGTCATGATGCGCCGCACACCCTCGCCAAACGTAGTCAACCTCCAAGTGGGCATTACCAACGCAGCCGCCGAGGCGGAAGCGGCGGCCGCGCACCACCAGCAGCCGCTCAACCTGTCCAAAAAGCTGTCCCCGTCGCCGACGCCCACGTCGGTGGTCGGCAGCGGCACTTCCACGCCACCACCTCCTGCTCCCGCTCAGGTGGCCATGGAAGCCTAAGGACCTTCGCAACCGCCGCCGCCCTCACCATCCCCCGCGACCCTCCCCTCATCACCCCCCCCTCCCCCGTCGCCGTACGTAACCGCATCGACTCGATCTCACGAGAGTCCATCTCTAGACCAAAACGTATATAACGTAATAGTTATATATGATTTATTTAAATTTAAAAAAAAAAAAAATGAAAAATATTGGAAACAATAATGGAGTTTCTACGCGAACCAAAAAAAAACACAGGTGCGGTGATCGTTTTCCTATTTTATTTTTATTTTTATCATTTTTTTTTTTTTTTTTTTGTGGCAATATATACAATTTGATGTAAATATAGTTTATAATTTAATTTTATTATATTATTAAATAATAAATTAGGCATTACGAGTTTAAGTTTTATTATAATAATTATTATTCATAATAAATATCTCTCTCGCTCTTACTCTCTAAACTATCTCTATTTATAAACGATAATGATAATAAAAAAAAAAAAAAAAAAAAAACCAACCATTATACCTTTATACCCATAAAATTCTAAACAATTATTTTTGTCCCGGATTTACGAGAGAAATCAAATACGAAAAAAAAAAACAAAAAAAAAAAAAAAAAAAAAACTATTGTACAAAAAAACATTATTTTAATCGACCGTCTTTTTCTCCCCCTTCGAAATGATACATCCCGTCGTGATATATATTTATATATAAACGAATACCAATAATATATATTTATTATATTTATGTAGGCGTATATTATTATATATTCTCGTAATATACATACATATAAAAAAAATATTATTTATATTATAATTGAAAAAAAAAAAAAAAAACCCCCGTTAATCACCTATATTTAATTATTACTTTCTTTTTGTCTTTTTAAAATGTGATAATATACACTATTATGTCTATACGTTTTAAGGATCGCATTTGATTTGAATTTTTTTTTTTTCTTGTACATATTTCATCTTTATCCCGTGTATAAAATTACAAAAAATAATAGACTACGACGCGATTCGTTCGGTCTCCCGTCGTCGTCGTATCACAACCATAACGCAGTATCGCGTAGTTAGCTATTGTTTATCCAGGTGTAGTAAAAATATTTAACGGTCTGATATATTTCGATGTTTTCCTTTTTTTTTTTTTTTTTTTTTTTTAAAAAAAAAAAAAAAAAAAAAAAAGGAAAACATCGAAATATATCAGACCGTTAAATATTTTT